AAGGCCCGTTTACACAGTTAAAGATTGTATTATATTTGGCCTTGATTTTTTATAAAAGAACGCGAACCATTAAATTGATTGCGTTAATGTTGATAATGAAATAGTAATCGGTTGATCGGTTGTACGATAATTTGTGTTGTGGGATTTTGCAGGTTGATTTGTGTTGTGTGAACTGACATGTTATATTGATTTGTTCGGAATGAAATTGCAATTCTGTTGGTATGTAAATCACCCTGTTGTGTAAGTCAAAGTTAATATTATTTGTTATTATTGTTTGTATATGATTTATATATTAGTTTTATATAATCAGACTAATAGTATATATTACGATTACTATGTAAGTATTTACATTTATTTTTCAATGCTTTTACTTTATTTTACTGAAGAACTGGTAATTTCGTTCACACTTATTACAATTTTTTTTTAATCCATATCTTACTAATAAGCTTATATAAAAGCGGTTAAACACTCACTTATATTCGTCCAGTGACCCCACCTATACGGATGAATATACGTGAGTGTTTAGTCGTTTTTATATAAGTTTATTATAATGTCTCACGAAAGTTTGAATAATTCATATCTTACTAATATTATAAGTGCGAATATTTAGATGCATGAATGTATGTTTGTTTAAATACCTTCAGAGGTTCAACGGATCTCGATTGAATCTGACATAAATGTAGAGCATAGTTTGGAAAAAAACATAGGCCATTATGTTTTTTTATCCTGCGCGGACGGAATCGCGGGCGACGGCTAGTATCTGTAAAAAAAACTTATCGAAATCCCTGTACAAAAACATGTTTTTTTGTATATGTTCCGGCAGTGTAAACACATTGTTACGTTGGAACATTGTATGTTATACATGTGTGAGTGATGAATAACATCAAGGACATTTGCACCGGAAGACGAGATGTTTGTGTAAACTGTGACAAACATAGAGTTATGATAACGAACTTTTTTTCAAAGACAAAACAGATGATGACGTTTGTTTTTAGATATTGACATAAAAAACGTGAACTGTGTTGAAATATTGACTTTTTAGTTAAAGAACGGCTTTTAAAAAATATAAACTTTATTTTTCTGTACCTTACTACTTACTAATATTTTAAATAAGAATGTTTGTATGGATGGATGTATGTTAAAAGGTATCTCTAGACCAGCAGCATGGATCAAGTTTTTTAATAATTCCGTGCGGACGAATTCGTGGGCGACAGCTAGTACCTAAATAAATTAAATAATTTCTTTTTGTTTATAATAGATAATATTGAGTTTGAACTGCAAATAAAATTATTGATAAAAGAGTATAAATTAAAAAGCTGCACGACCGCGTTCACCTCAGCGTTCTCATTATCGGCTTGTGTAAAAAAAAAAACCTTGCGACCGCGGCACACACCGCCAATGACGTGATTTATATACGTATAATGTTCCTTTAGAAAATTTATTTGATATTTTTGAAGACAAAGGTTTCATATATGTTTTATAAATAAAAAAGCGGACTGAGTTTCTTTATCTTGTGGGAACTGGCATAATCTTACTAATTTTATAAATCCGAAAGTATAAATGGATGGATGTTAGAAGGAAAGGAAAAGATGAACAAATCTTGATTAAATTTAGCACAGCTATAAACATAGTCTGGATGAACACATAGACTTATTTTTCTTTAATTCCATGCGGACGTCGTGGGCGACAGATGCATGTTTATTTAGTATAGTATACAAATTATTTATATGTAAAAATTATTATTCTAAAGGAGATTTTCATCATCTTGTAGATACCTTTTTTAGATTAGCAAACTTCTAGATTGTGAGTAAGAAAGATTTAAGCTAAATGTAAAGTCGATCACGCGCCTGGACTTGCGAAGTTTGTCCCCTTTTTAATAGACATTAAATAAAGCTGCTCGAATATTTTATGACGGAGTGACCTTTCTTTATAATAATTCGACGTCTACTTTTTATTTCATTTCTTTCTTCCATCTGTTCAAGTTTATGCAAGCACATGATTATCTTTGCATTCCATTTTTGAATTTATTTACAAGACAGTTAATTTGCTAACAATATTCTCTTTTTTTTCTTAAAATTAAAGGAGAAGTTATTTTTGTTAATTGTATTCTATACATAAATAATTTTATTGTAATTAGTTTAATTATCATATACTAGCTGTCGCCCGCGACTCCGTCCGTGTGAATATATAAAAAAGTTCATTAGTGTAGCCTATGTGTTTTAATCGAGATCCGTTCAGCTGTTCTAGAGATATCTTCATAAACCCATCAATCCATCCACATCACATCCATCTAAACATTCGCATTTATAATATTAGTAAGTTCAATAAAAAGCAGCTCTTCAGGGCATAAATTCGAAAAAATGAATAAATAGTATCCTATGTCCGTATCCTGGCTCTAAGCTACCTCCTCAAAAAATTTCAACCATATCGGTAAAGCCGTTCTTTAGTTATAAATAGTGTAACTAACACGACTTTCTTATATATATATATATATATATATATTGTAGCTGTAAGTTTACCATGTTAAATAATAAATAATCCATTATGGCCCGATGCTCTTAGTTTAATATTTAATTCTTTATATTCGCGCTTCGTCGTTAACTTTTGTTAGATCGAGTCAGATCCTTGCCGTAAACTAGACAGTCGTAATAACGCTTACTATTGCCCGTATAAATCTGAAGAATAATATTACGAGGCCGACTACCTTCTGTCACGTTTGTGCTACAAATTTGTTATTTAATATGCATTTTATTGTAGCTCGTTTACACAGTGCCCCAAATTGTCTTTCTTTATTTAAAGTGCACAGTTTTAAGTGTAGATTTTTCATATTAAATCTGTATATAATATGTTAATGATTCACAGATTTAATTAATATATTATAAAAATCATTATTTTTATTTATAGAATGATAGATGTTGAATTAAAAAAAGACTAGTAATAGTAATAAAGCCTATGTCACCGGGGAATAGTGTAGCTTCTCAACAGTGAGAGAATTTTTCAAAGCGGTTCATTAGTTTCGGAGCAAAATTATTGGAAACAAACAAACATACTTCCTATTTATAACATTAGTATAGATAATAGAAGTAGAAATATTCTTCGTCGACACACAATAGCTGTTAAAAATCATGTAAGTTGTTGAATCTCTGCCAATATTCTCACTGAGGTTCGATAGTTTACAGTTTATACGAAATTATTCTGTGAGATATGTAGCAATTTTCGTAGCGCCCACGTAGCATGACTCGTAGCGACCACGTTGAAAGTCTCGTAGTGGCGCGTAGCGCTACAGCGTGCAAGTTTGATGACAGTCGTAGACACCACATGTCGCTCGGCTTATTTGTTTTCTGTTGCCATATAAACAAAGTGGGATAAATGTTTAAAATATTTATAGTAGAGACGTTTGAACTCAATAGCCATGTTCACATATTAAACATATTAGAACAAATTTACACTAGTACTTTCCCTGGAAAATAACAATATTAAGGAACGTGTTATAATTTTTAATAGTTGAACATTTTAATAGTTGCGTAGTATTCTTAGTATAAAGGCTTCGTTGTCTGAATAATAATAGGATTAATTTACAAAGCAGTACACGAAAGGAAAACTTTATTACTACTAGTGGCTTGAAATGACTATTAGAATATTATTAAAAGTTTCAGATTAACACTTATACTATTGTAGAATTAACTTTACATGTTATTAAAAGGCAATTTGTAATAATGTAAATACTATTTAACATTACAGACAGTGAGGGGTTGTCAGATGAGACAGACAGATGTCTACAGTTATTTAATTTAAATTCAAAACTTAAAATATCTTTATATATATAATTCTTCTGTGAGTGTGTATGTCACTGAACTTCTCTCAAACGACTGGACCGATTTTGATGAAATTTCTTGTGTGTGTTCAAAGGGATCTGGGAATGGTTTAGATTCACAATTTTCATCAAATATTAACTTCATATTAATTTATTCAAATTAAAGACGTGTAGACAGGACAACGTCTGTCGGCTCCGCTAGTCTTCACATAAATATTCTTAAAACTTAAGGGGGGTATTATAATCGCACCTGAAACAGTCTTGAATAAATCGAGAATAATGGGTAAGGATCGTGCTAAATGGAAGTCTTGTTACTGCCACCCTTTTAGGTTATGGGCGTGAGTTCTGATTGATAAATTAGACCTTGAGTATTTATTTCAACTTAAACTTGATTGGTACTTCAAAAAGTAATCAACATAGTCCTAAGGCTTTGCTATTTGATACTGTGACGGTTATTTTTGGCTCTCGACTTTGTGCGATCTGGGTCGATTTATTGTCAACATCTCCCGGCCGCTAAGGTAAACTTTGTGTTTTTAAAAGCTTTAGTAAGACTGAAAGTGTTAAGAGCATTCGTTCGCTAAATTCTTTTCTGACGCTTCTTTCGAATGTTGATGTTCTTCACCGTTTTATGTTAAATATTTAGATGTTATTTTTATGAGATTGATATTATTTTGTATTATATTTAGCATAATCTCTTCGAAATGAAAACAAAATTCGTATCACATCTGTTAATATTCTTAACTATTGTGCTATGGGACGTTGTCCTCGGGTAACATTAATACTTTCAAACTAAAACATGATGATGGATGGCCATTAAGCAAATATCGTCCAAAGTTGGATAAAACATATCGTCGTCCCTCTCGTTCGTCGTTTCAAACGGGGATTTTCGTCCCAGAAACTCATGGTTAGAGTATATAGGTTACAAATATACTTACTACACAAACTTTTCTATTATAATCTACATTAGAATGAGTACTAAGCTTGACTTTTATTTGTTTCAGGATCTGATCTTGAAGAGCAGTGCGTCCAAACTTAGTCTGTCAGTTCAATTCCGCGTCATAGTGTGTGCAGTGGGGATGTGCACGCGGCAACGCCGTGTGTGAAGCGCGCGTGAGGGGGGAGGGAGGCGGGGGCACGCTGCAGGGCCGCGGGGGCCGCGCGGCGCGGGGGGCCGGCGCGCTGGCGGGGTACGGCCGGCACGCGGGGTACGCGGGCGGCGCCGGCGCATACCACGCGCGCACGCCCGCTGTACCACTCAACGCAAGTGAGTATATACCTTTATTTTAACTGTAACATGGCAATTGAATATTTAAAAAGGTATATGGAGTCAATTAATCCGCGCTAAGTTTGGGTTGATAACTTAGTGTTTAATGGAGACATGAATAAACTGAAGTTGAACAACTTACACTTCCAAAGTTAGATTTATTCGTGAAAAGTTTCAAATCAAAATACAAGCTTTGATCACCTTCAAGATAGTGACAAACAAGACTTATTCATCTTTATAAATATTACGGATACGAATGAGGTTTTCATGATGATGTTGAATTGATTACGTTTAGTTCTACTAATATTTTTTCAGTACTCCTCCTATTCCTAAATAAAACGTTTAATATTAATTTTTCATATTTAAGTCAAGTCCTCAATCGTTTCCAATAGTCGAAATTGTAATTTCAAATGTAACTGTAACTTTACTATCAATTTAAATTCTTCATAGTGAGGTTCAAAAGCGACGTTTTCAATGAAATCGAAATGTGAACGTAGACAAAGGAAATATTTCAATTCCAATATACAGGTAAAAGACTAAAGCTTTAGATTTTGCAAATATATTAGGAAAACGTGTAATTTCACACTAAGATTTTTTTTACTTCGCCTTAAAAACTAACAAAAATGGTTAGTTGCTAGTAAATTATTTTCACACTAGTTAAACATTAGATTCGAACTTCCGACCCCTTTTTTATATCATAAGGTGGCAAACGAGTGAGCGGCCACCAGCAATCACTAAAATAGAGAATTGACCGTTGCCCATAGACATACGCAATTGCATATGCGTTGCCTACCTTTAATCGACGAAGAAGAGGATGCAAAGAAAGAAAACATTTTCCCTTCCCATGCATCCTCTTCCACTTTCAATCCTTTTCTTATAAGAAAAAGTGTGGGAAGGGAAAGAGGACTACATTAGGCCTTCTGGATCAGACTGTACGCGGAATTGCTTCCACTTCACGCCTGTCTTCTGTGTGGTCGTGGCAAACTTACCAAAGGCATGTAATACATTTTCTTCTAATTAAATCTGTCTCTGGATAACGATAGAAATCAATCTATTATTGTAGTTAGAAGACGACTGTGTAATATACACTTACTCATACTAAACAATTTTCAAATTTTTTCCATTGCTCCGATAAAATCATCCAAATAAATCTTAAGTTCTTAAGAATCGATTATTAAGTTCGGCAGTTATCCATTCGTCTATTGACGTTTATTCGTGTTGATATTGTATCAGTCATAACCATCTCTGATTCGACACGACACTTCGTCGATACATTTTCTACGACCTACATTTTTCAATACTGCCATTCAAGTGAACTATTGCCCATTCAATTTATGTAAATTGTATATACACGTAATATAACTACCGTAATAATGATCGAACGTAATTGTGTGGACTTAAATATTATTTATAATATCGTTTAGTATAAGGCTTCATTACTTTTGGTAATTTATTACGGTGTATTAGGAACATTACTTTAGTATTTTACTTAAAACAACTTAGTTAATGTCACAATCCTCAAAGCATTAGAGATGCTTCATGGTTTAGATTACATTATATTGAAGCCGAACACATAAGTGTTTGTTACTTGGTATCGCCTGCGACTCCGTCCGCACGTTTATGAAAAAACATAATGAGTAACCTACGTGTTCTTCAAGACTATGTTCCATATGTATGCCAAATTTCAATGAGTTCCATGCAGCCGTTTTAGAGATACCTTCTTACAAACATCCACCTTCGCATTTATAATATTAGTAAATTTACGGAAATTTACTTTATTTACGTATCGAATCTAGGTGTTTTAAAGGAATTATAGGAACAAAACAATGAACTTGTTATAACATTGCAATGGTAATGAATTTACAACAAACCTTTAATATTGTCAACGCTTTGCAAAATAGCATTCCATACTGTCTCTAATCGCGTACCTAAATTAACATTGTCCAAATATCGCACAATTTCTGCGTTCAAGCGACGCGGTATTATGTTCTGTTTGAATAGAGAAATGTTTGTTGCTTTGTGCGATACATTTTGATATACGATATTATATCGCTTTTACTCTTGCATAGATTAATAAGATATATTCATAATGTGATTGCTATTATTAATCTTCAGATTGTAGCAATTTAATTTGTTAAGTGATGTACAGAATTTACAGTGGTAGAGCCCGCTTTAACATCTTCGCACTAATTGGCCCGGCTCGCCCGGTGAAATACCATGACCACACAGAAGACAGGCGTCAAGTGGAAGCAATTCCGCTTTGCGGCTGATGAGTGCGCGTCCCGGAGGCCTAATTTAGTCCTCTTTCCCTTCCCACCCTTTTTCTTACAAGGAAAGAATGGGAAGTGGAAGTGGGCTTTCCGGATGAGAGGATGTATGAGAAGGGAAAATATTTTATTTCTGTGCATCCTCTCTCCGTCGATTTAGGGTAGGCAACGCATATGCAATTGCGTATGTCTATGGGCAACGGTCACTTCGCTATTTCAGTGATTTTAGGTGGCCGCTCGCTCGTTTGCCACCTTATGATATAAAAAAAAAAATTATGATTACACGACTCCTAAGATTTGATTGTTCTGACATTACTTCCATTTCAATTAGAAATACAAGCTTAAAATTTGATTAAAAATTATTTTTTTTAAAATTCAATTTGTCATCAAAGAATCCGCCAAAGATTCGTATTAGTATAGTAGGTATGGAAATTAATAATGAAAAAAAATTAACACAAATATTTTTGCTTATGAATGTCGTTCATCAGATCCGGACAATGACTCTCGCTTATTAAGGTTTCTCTCTTATCCAGGTTCGACTGTATACCATAACTGAATTTTCAATTATTTATTTTAATTATTACATCAAATAGAATAATTAGTCCTTACGATTGTTGGATAAATGTTTTACATAAAAAAGGAATCTCTGGTGTCAAGAGGGTACATTAGCCAGCTTGTTAATATTTAATAAGTCAATATTTTCCGACGGGAGTACACTAGACTTCGACATGCAAATTTATGCTAAAACGGCGCTAGCTAAGTAATTTGCTTAATGAAAAACCGAGTTGAAAAGAAAGGCAATGCTCCTTACTCTCCGCTCCGGCCATTCCATCTCACAAATATAAATACTTAATATCTGATTAATTAAAATATCAAGATATCAAATGGAAATTTTGTAATTTACCGTTACATTTATTCAATGAGATTAGATTTTCATTTGATAAACTTTTATCTTATTAAATTTTATGTTTTTTGCTACTGTTTAAGTGATCCAGTCTCAAATCAAACATTGAACTTATAAAGATAGCCGCTTTAATTATTCGTCTTTATCGCTTCGTCTTTATAGACGGGAAACAGTCTTTAGTTTTTCACTGCAAAAACACTTGCATAAACATATTGTCATATGCATATGAGAGCGACGGTGGTTCAGAAGTCAAGCCCTTGACTTGCAAACTGCAGGTCCTGGGTTCGAATCCCGCCATGTACCAATGTGTTTTTCGATTTTCGATTTGCATATGTACATTTATCCGACGTTCTTACGGTGAAGGGAAAACATTGTGATGCAACCTGCACTTATCTGAGAAGAAATTCAAAGATATGTGTGAAGACAACCAACCCGCACTTGGCCAGCGTGGTTGACTGTGGCCTAGTCACCCCTAACTTACGGTAGGCTCCGAGCTCCTCAGTGGGGACGTATAGCTGATGATGAAACATATTGTCTCTGGTTTTTTTTTCAAAGATTGTAAACAGTAATTAATTGCTAGAGTCGCCACACGATTGGACAGCTGAGACAGGCAAGATTCACCTGCTAAGTCTTTAAAAATAAAAGCCGATTTTTGCCAGCACATATCGTTAGCCAGGGTCGCATTTAATTTATGATTTTAGGCCATGAATAGAGCAATGTCCGATAACCGGCACATCAATCATTCTCGACGTCGACACAAAAAAGCGGCCGTAAGCGTTGCGTACAGAAAGGCTCTCCTAGATGACCTTGGGCTTTGATACACACAAAATTGGTCATAAATCAAACTAATTTTAGACGGTATGAAGCGAATATGTCTTTTCATAACTATGATTATAGACTAGCCTAGTTTATAGACGCAACATGTTATTAAAATAAGAAAAATTACCTTTTTTTGTAAAGTTAAAAGTAAGTTCTTTTGTTCTTTTTGCCCTTTAAGAGTTAGGGCGTGATATCTTTAATAATTAGCTTGCTTTCACGTATAGTATAAAGTTTTAGACATTTTATTATTAGAGGAAATTCAATAGAGGGTTGTATAAAGTTAGACGTTGGAAGTAAGCGAAAGATTTTTTTTCATAATAGCGACTCCCTACATTTTAATAAGAAAATAAAACTAAAAAGTCCGTTTCACTAATAAACCCTTATTTTGCTGTCTCAAGTCGACGTTTTGTCTTCGAAGTTAAAAGGAATAATCGCAGGTGAAGCCACGAGGCGCAAATTACCAAATAAAAAGGCGCTTACGGACACGCCGAGTTCGACCATCGAATATAAACTCTATTGTGTTGTCATAAAGTATAAATTTAATCAACAAGGGCAAAGAATACAGCCCGTGTCGAAGTATCCAAATATTTTTTCCTTTTTTCTTTCTTCGAAAAAAAATGGGGGCACGCTGCTCATTGTTCCTCGATACGATTCACGCTATTTAGAACTTTGATGCTTGGTAAATAAAGTCGAAATTTATTTGACGTTTAGTTTAGCTTATAGCTTTCGATTTTTCAAAGAAATTATTTCCGCTGTGTCTGAAAATTAGAATTCGTTAAGTCGCCTTTTGTTTTCCTTTCAGTGGAACAGTACGATTTGTGTGTTTACGTTACAGATTTAGTTTTTTTTTCTTATTAGCTGTGAATCGGAAATTAACTTTTTAATTTAGTAGCGTCATAGCCTATGTAGAGTACCACGTAGGGTTTCATTACTGGGTTTGTTCATTTGAAATTGTAGATTATAATTTAAGGACCCCGACGGATCCGAAACTAGTTGGTGCCGTCACCGGACGATCACACGTGAGTTCAGTGTGTGATTATAAAAAAATAAGCTGTCCAAAAACGTGTAGGAAGCTCCGACGCTAATGTTCCGGCCAATTTAATTACTTACCACAACAATATTTGCACTATAATTAATAATAACTCCGGTCGAATATTAATTACTTAAATTAATTGTCCTAATTGCTAACACCGCGATGCATTCATTAGGGCCGGTTGGACGCCGCACTGGACGCAGCGTTGGACACCGCACTGAACGCCGTGTTGGACGCTGCACGGGTTTTTTGGTTAATGTCCCTAATTTACAAATTTCTATATCAGTGCACCCATTTTATAATCAACGCAACAACAGACACTTTAAAAAATTATTAGCTTCCTCAAACATTAATAAGGTTTATGAATCAAAACTCGTTGAACAAAAGTAGATTGGCCTCACGACTATATTCTTTAATCAGTTCATTGATCAACTAACTTGCAGTAACATCTTATCTGTAAAATGAAAAATGTACATATGTTAAGCCGTAACAAATACGCCATAAATAGTCTGAACTAGCACGCGACACCGTCAACGCAGAATTAAAGAAATAAACAATAATAAGTAGCCCATGTGTTCTTTCAAATTATGAGCTACATCTATGCCAAATTTCAGAGATATCCATTGAGCCGTTCCGAAGATATCTTCAAACAAACATCCATCCATTTAAACATTCGCATTTATAATATTAGTAAGATAGTAACGCTCAGCCAATGCTCAAAAAAACAACGAAAAAATCCTTTCAAATACTCATTAAAAAAAAAACAACAAAATAATGTTTGAAAAAGTTTAATCAAGTTAGAGTAATGAATATCTTAAAGTAACTTGAACCTGTGGCTTATTACTACTCAATTTGTAATTCTACGACATAGTAGTGTATATTTTTAACTCCGGCCCGTATAAAATGTAACATTCTTAGACTTAACGTTATTAACATTCTTAGTAAACTTATATATTCATGTATAATCAAATAAGTTAAGCGTCGCGCGCTATCACTTCGACCTAACCTCTTATGCCGATAAGGTCTATATTAGCGTGCAGCTCTCTCGTTGCATAACTGTCACATCCGAGCTATAACCGTTGACGTAATTCAATTATTCCGGCTCGACGCGCGCGACTAACGACCTTTTGGGTGTAGTGGATCGCTCCACCCCCTTCAATATGTTAAATTTCACGGATGTTTTCGTCGACATTTCCACTTGTAATACGATCTAGAATTTTGTTGTTACTTTAAACAAGATTTTATAAATATTAAAACTATCGAATTGACTATATCATATCATTTGACCGTGTGATCAGACCTTTACAACAAAACAGTCGTCAGTCATCTCTGAGCCCAGTCGGATGTAACAAATTTTGCTCTTCACGGACACGTCATGGATATCATGGATATCATTATCATCATAATGTATTCAATGGATACATGCAACATTAACAAGATTATCACTCTATCGGCAGCAATGGCTCCCATTCTTAAATATAGTCGCTACATTTCTATAGTATTTTCTTAAAAACAATTGAACATATTAGCTGAATGCGCCCAATGGGATTTTTTGATTCTATGAACTTTACGGGATTTTTTTCTCAATTGACCTTTGAATTGGTCCAACGGGAATGCGCTTTTTATTACTTTTTCTCACAATTTATATTGCATTTACTTTCCATATATGTTTGTAAACATGATCTTATTTCATATTCTTACATCGTTATTTATATAAATGTGTATATTTTATATAATAATATTATTAAAAACAGTGTTTTTAGAACGATTTTACAAATTGTAGAGCATTTCAAAAGAGATTGAAAGGTTATCGAAGCTATGTTTTCGGTATTCGTTTATTCAAACGAGCTGCTGAAAGTGTGATGTATGCAACCCGTCTAGCCAGTTTAAACGGTAACATTTATTTTATGCTACACTTCTCTTGTGTGCTTTTAATATTTATTCAGAGTTATAACATATCTTATATGGTTACGATAGTCGACTTGTTTGTCCGTATTACTTTCCAGTCATTCACGGGGTTAGACAAAATGTATTCGCTTCGCAACGATTCCATAGCGAACTTCAAAAATGTATGAAATTAACATGCGGCAGTCACGTGACTTATCGAAAGTTATTGTCAGTTATAAACATTTTTGAAGTTCGTTATGGAATCGCTGTGTGGATGTGGAAGTGAATACATTTTGTTCAACCCCTCAGGAACAAAATTTATATTTACAAAGAAAGAAAGAACCTAGAAATGTTTAAAACAATTATATATTTGTATCTGGCAATATTCAAACTTTGTGACTGAATAAAAATAATATCTGTTAATCAAAGATAAGTTAAAAAGAAAGAAGAAAAAAGGAAAGAAGATATTACTTGCATATTTTCCCCTAATAAATATAACTCCTAATCTGATGTTGCCATAGAGATAAAAGTTCAATGCCCTCTTACACAAATTTTGCGAAGGCGGGGTCAATAACCTGTAACCATAGTGACTTGGATTTTTTTAATAGGATCGTAAGATAACTAAACAATTAATTAAATTGGAGCCGTGTAGCGGTTCCGGAGATTAATCGGAACAAACGAGGATTTGCGGAAAGCCAAACAGAAAAAAATTAAACATGTTTATTATAAGTAACGCAAACAAGTAATGTTTGCGAAATATTACATAAAGACAGTCCTATTTAATATACATATAGATAACTCGATAATCAATGAAATTCATGCTGTACTAAAATTTTAAAGATCATTGATCAACTCATTTTGAAACTGGATTATTATTAAAATTCTCGAACAACTTTGAAGTATGTAATGTACCCGAGTTTTGCCAAAACACTTTTAAAAAAAATATATTTTGTTTCGAAATGGGACAGTAATTAAGTCTTTCTCATAGTGTTACGATAGCCAAAGTAATTCATGTTTGCTTTTTAAAACTAACTTTTACTGTTTATCACCTTAAATCTTACTAATATTAAAAATGCGAACGTTTAGAAAGATGTATGGATGTTTGTTTGAATGTATCTCCAGAACGACCGCACTGATCTTACTGAAATTTGGCAAAAATATAGAACACAGTCTGAAAGAACACATAGGCTATTATTTTTTTTTTACTTCCGTGCAGACGGAGTCGGGGGCGACAGCTAGTTACCTAATAAAAATTCGTTCTGTGTCTATCCTATAATAAAGAGAAATATAAGAGTTTACTATTGGGCTCGCAAATATTTGGGTCATGAAAATGGAAATCGTTTTTGGAATATAAGTAACATATTTAAAGAGAAAACATCGCTTAAGTAACGGTGGTTATCCATTTATTGTTATATCTTTGGGATCCGAGGTTGTCTGGTTTTATTGGTCAATTTGTTACATTTATAGTGTACAGCCTACTGCTAGCTCCTTTAATTTGGGTTTATATCTTTTGAAAATCATTGCCATATACAAATTTTAATAAGTTTACTAACTTTAAGTCAACTGTAAATTTAAGTTACAGCACTTTTTTGGGGACTTTAGTTCATAAGAACATGTCAGTCTCATAGCAAATCCTACTAATATTATAAACGCGAAAGTATAGCTGAATGGATGGATGGATATTTGAAGGTATCTCCAGAGCGGCTGCAAGGATCTTGCGAAAATTCGACATATGTAGACGTAGAACAAAGTCTGCAAGAATACAGAGGTTACTATTTTTTTTATTCCTCGAAGACGGAGTTAAGGACTACAGCTTAAAGTTTAACAAAATTACATTCTAAGGTCTTCTATTTTAATTTCTAGTGCTAAAAATATTATAGGTTAATCCTGGGATCGAATAAATGATAAGGACTTTATTCATTCATCCTTGTATTTTATTATTTGGCATTCAAAGAATAGTTGTAAATATGATTTTTTTTAGTAAAGAACGAACAAGATGTTGTAATAAATATTTTTTAAATAATTTAACAATCGGGCCATGCATTTATATGTGTTCGGCGTACGTCCAACTTTGTTGCTCTCTACAAATAGGTACATATTTTTTGGCAGCGCTTTCAGGAATAGCATTGCTTTAATGTTTACGGCGTTAATAATAAAAAAAAACTATGGTACAGTAAGGATTGCTCGAGTTTGAATCTAAAGATTTCAGATTACTTTCCATACTTCAGAATAAAAAAGTCTAAAGTAATTTGGATAGGTTATAGCTTAAGGAATTTAAAAAACAAGTAATAAAAGAGTATAAAAAATACTAAATAAGTTAATGTACTTTACTAAAATTACTTCGTTTAAATGGAACTTATAGATTCCTTTATTTAAATACTTACTCAATATGTTAAATCTGAGTAGAATAGGGTTGCTCCATTTACGAAAAGTCCGGATTCAAAGTTATTGTTATGATAATAACGTGAGACCGCAATAAATCGTCCGCTATCGGCTGTCCGGCGTGGCTTGCCATCAGCTATCAACCCTATTCGACAATAAATTTACTTTTACCAATTAAATGCTAGTACAAATTGTATTATTTGAGGTTTGTAATTTATCTGCTAATTTATTCTGTTTTATATAATTAACTACGATACCAAAAGCTTTTTAAATAGAAATAACATTAATTATTAAATTACATGTGTTTAATATGTTGCTTAATTTAGTAATTGTACCAAAGAGTTTCTTCTCTGGCAACACTGATTAGTTTTTTTTCGTGAAATATCGACTTCTCAAAAAGACTATGAAGATATAAGCTAAACTAGTAAAATTTCTTAAAATGGTTGCCTTTATTTAATTCAAAACTATATTACAAAAATACTCCTAATAAATTATTTTAAAATGTATTGTAAAAAAATTAACTTGTAACTGTTCGAGTTCTTGAAATAAAAAACTACGCCATCTATTGGTAGCAAAAGCGTAACAATACGTAGAACTGTTTTATCGCGGTAGCTCGGCCCGCGCATGCGTACTTTGGTTTGAGGCCACGGCCACAACAACGAAGATAATTTCTGTCATCGTTATATCACGCACACATGCGTGGGCTACCGTCGTTGTCAAACGTGTGCCGCTTGTCATAATGTATAATAAGCTGTAATTTCCGTGTTTTTTGTGAAATATACTTAATTGTGATAAAGGTAAGTAATATTTTATCTTTATTATGGTTCCGTGTAAATGTATACTATAATCCCTTGTTTGTTCCTCTCGTATAAGTAAATAACCTTTCGACTTTGAATGATGGCGTCTTGTTATATTTAACGTCTCTTGGTATATTATTGATTTAAACAATCCTATTAGATTTAAATAAATTTAACTAAACCTACAAATAAACAAAGATTTATTTCGATTCACTTGTAACGATCCGATATGGTCTAGTGGCTAGGATACCTGGCTCTCACCCAGGAGGCTCGGGTTCGATTCCCGGTATCGGAATACTTTTTTAAAATTTATTTTTATTTTTTTGCAGATTCAAAATGAACGTCATAGCGGCATTGGCCATTTCCATGGTCTTCGTGGGATGTTGTTCCAACGTAGTATTTTTGGAGTTGGTGGTTAAAGAAGACCCAGGGGCGGGAAACTTGGCCACATTCCTGCAATTTGTATTTATAGCCGTTATGGGATTCTGTACTGTGGGCAAATTTGGTACTGCAAAGAGAAACATACCTTTCAAACAATATTTGATGTTAGTCGGATTTTTCTGGACTAGTAGCGTCGCCAACAACTATGCATTCGACTTTAATATTTCAATGCCACTTCATATGATATTCCGAGCGGGATCTTTAATGGCGAACATGGCTATGGGTGTATGGATTCTTAAGAAGAGATATCCACCTTTAAAATATTTAGCAGTTTTCATGATATCAGCAGGGATTGCCATTTGTACGATCCAATCCAGTGGCGACGTTAAAGCCCCGAGAGAAACTCACAAAGATGCAGCCGAAGAAGAGAGACTACAGTTTATAGATTGGCTCTGGTGGTGTCTTGGGATTGCCATACTTACCTTCGCATTATTCGTGTCCGCAAGAATGGGGATATTCCAGGAATCTTTATATGCAAAGTATGGGAAACATCCATGGGAAGCTCTTTATTATACCCATTTAATGCCTTTAGTTTTCTGGTTACCGACCGCTCAGAACTTAGTTGGTCATGTAAAGATCGCGACTGAGACGCCTATGGTTGAAGTATTCGGTATTACTCTACCTAAACAAGTCCTATGGCTGATACTTTATGTAGTGACCCAAGGACTTTGCATTAGTGCCGTCTACGTTTTGACAACCGAGTGTGCGTCACTAACTGTCACTTTGACAGTTACGTTGAGGAAATTTGTGTCGCTTTTGTTCTCTATAATGTACTTTAGGAATCCATTTACTTTGGGACATTGGATTGGTACTCTGCTTGTATTTATAGGGACTTTAATTTTCACTGAAATATTACAGAAATGTGTTGCCATATTCTTACCAGCGTCTGCGCCGGTTGAAAAGAAGAAGAAGAAATAAATTAGTGATAATTGTATTGTAGAGAAATTTGTCTATGACATTGTGATTTTTTTATTTATATACTTTTTTGTATCGCTTGAAACTTTGCATCTAAGGAGAAATATGAAGCATAATATAATTACGAAAGTCTTGGAATTCGAAAAGACAAGGAATCAATTGATTTTTACTATGTAAAATTAATGGAACAAATTATGAACACCTATTTTAAAAAAGAATATTTTTGTTCAAATGTCATCTTTTTTTTTTTACAAAATATTTGCTTTACTTAATTTTTTTTATTACACACTACAAAATTTTGTTTCAAATTACTTAATTCTTCTTGGCAATGTAAAAAATTATTTTACCTCATTTAAAAGTTAATACAAATAAGATAAGTAATTAATCAAGTAACGTTCCAAATAATGTTAACGTGTAGAGATAGTTTGATCTTAATTTAAATAATGACATGTTTTAAAATGTAAACTCAATTTTATTGAACGTTATAATATTTTTTAATGGCGAAATTCAAATTTTTATTTTGTCTATCTTACGCTGTTTTATTTGTGAAAAAGACATTAGAATCTATATTTAATCTATATCTATAATTTATATTTAATCTGTATTAATCGATTACTAAAATTGTAATTAAATTTCAATTTTACTGAATATCGAAATGAAACCAGTAATTGCATTTTACATATGTAATGTCAATGCAACTTGTGTGAAAGTTCACATCGAATGGGTGGGCTATTTGGAATCGATTATTTGTATAACTAAGCGACTCGATACTTCGATAAGCGAATTTCCGAGAAACAATCGGTCAATATCGATTCGAATGCCAGTGTCCGCTTTGTATTTCCGATTTTGCTATATAAAATAACATATCAATTCTGCTTTCAGTATAATTTCTAAATGCGCATTTAAACAGGATTATAAGAATAAAATGGTATTTAAAAGTTTTTGCTTGTTTTATTTACTCTTTCTGGGTATGAAATTAGATGAATAGTTGCAATAGGGAATGAATAGTTCTATCAATATTTGCGAGAATGAGAGAAATGCGAAAACGTGCGTCTTTTGTCTGTCCGACAGACAAATGACGCAGGAAGGATGTTTATTGGAGATATGCGTGTAAGAACCATTGTGACCTCTAGTAACCTAAACGGTGGCATTGATTTTGAAGATTAATGTGTCATTCGATATTTATTCATCCCTGTTGTGTTATAAGTTACAGCCAGAAGGGGTTTGTTATTGTTTTTTGCTATGACGTCATTTTTTGTCATTAACACAAGGCGTATTCTTCGTATTACCGTCGGTTTTCACTGTTAAAGCATTCTTTAAAAAGTATATCGCCATCTCTGTCATTCTCCGCGTAATAAATGAGATAAGAGAACTATTTTGTCTAGAGTTTCGTCAATAATAGCTACCGTAATGCGGTAATACTTGATAGCTCATCGAGTGATCTAATCGTGATAACAATGTTACGTTTTTTATAGAATTATCATCGTGAAATACAATTTGATGTACTAAGTTTGCTACTTATATTACACTGGAAGACATTTGGAATGGAAAGTTCAAATCTGGATTTCTTTTTAATATGGTCGTTGCTGTGGTTAGCTATATGTTTCCATGTTAGGTGTGACTAGACCATAGTCTACCACTTTGGCCCAGTGTGGGTTGATTACACACATCTTTGAATTTCTTCGCCGATATGTGCAGCAGTGATGTTTACCACCGTATTGACATTACTAAGGAACATTTTAAACGATCCTTAATAGCATATTTGATTAAGAGTAATTGAATCCGAATTTATTTAATTGGATTGTATTTACTATAATATTTTACTACTGTTTTATATTTTTATATCATAAGTAAAACGTTCATTACTTACAAATCTAATTTCGAGTTTAATTCATTTTAGTTCCTTTTGAATATATATATTTTTAGGTACCAGGCGATCATGACTAGCTTGTAACATTTTTATTCGAAAGCAATTTGTTCCGTTAGGAATTCCGTATACCACGTGAGTCCGTGCCGAGCCTAACTTTTTCAACTTTTTGGCATCGATGTAGCCGACGGCTTAACGTAATCTTATTGTTAACAATCGAGTTAACCAATTCCGAACGATCTTTTTACTGTAAAGAGGATTTTTTTTCGACCCGCATTTAAAAGCTATAGGAAATGGTATCTGTAATACAAGTACTGAAATTAAAGTTTTTTTTATTAGCATGAAATACTTATTAAAAAGTTTAAAAAGTATGTCAAGTTAGTTTTTACCTCACGTGATACGTGAGATCTTACTAATGTTATAAATGCGAATTTTTAGAAAGATGTATGTGAGTGTGCGTCCCGGAGGCCTGATTTAGTCCTCTTTCCTTTCCCACCCTTTTTTCTTATAAGGAAAGGATGGGAAGTGGAAGTGGACTTTCCGGATGAGAGGATGCATGGAAAGGGAAGATATTTTCTTACTGTACATCCTTTCCTCCGTCGATTAAAGGTAGGCAACGCATATGCAATTGCGTATGTCTATGGTCAATGGTCACTTCGCTATTTCAGCGATTTCAGGTGGCTACTCGCTCGTTTGCCATCTTATGATATAAAAAACCTCCAGAACGGCTGAACGGATCTCGATGAAATTTGTTATACATTTAGAAAATAGTCTGGACACTTAGGCTACTAATTAAACAAATAAAGGTCAACTAAATATTGATTTTTATTCAAATATTTAGTATTCATTGTAATACACTATTCAAAGGATTTATCTGAAGTCTAGTTTTATTATGACTGGCAGACGCCTAGTCATCACATTATGATCTACACCGGACTCTAATGCCTGAATTACTTGGAAAAAGGTCTATTTATATCGATATGTTTTCAAAATGAAAAATGAACCTTATTGCTTTAGAATAAAGTTGAAGGTTGTGCAATATGTGTACATACTGCCTTTTGTTGATTTTGTTGGATGGAAATTTGATTGATATATTCCCTTTTGTTGTAGGAATTTAAGACTATGAGACAAGCGTGAGAGGTTTAAGGAGTCTTGTATTGAATAGCTTATATGTTAGAATATTTATAAGTTTTATTCAGAACGATATAAAAATAGCAAATAATGCTACGAAACAATATTTTAAGGATAAGGTTGAATATGTTTTCTATGGAAATAATGGAAAATACTTTTTAAGGAGTACATAATTTAAAAGATTGAGACGCAAAGAATTTCGTGAAGACGTTTTCGTATAATTTTTTCTCAGTCATCGTGACTTAATGGTTTCATAATTAGTCTATCGTATAGAATCGTGCAAAGCATATATACATAATATACTAGGAGAAGCCCCCGACTTGGTCCGTGCGTAATTAAAATGTAGTAATAAATAACAGTGAAAGAATTTATCAAATCGGTTTAGTAGTTTCGGAGTCTACTCAATACAAACAAACAAACATTCAAATATTTCCTCTGTATGATATTAATATAGATATATATATTTTTTTATATCAGAAGGCGGCAAACGAGCGAGCGGCCCCCTGAAATCGCTAAAATAGCGAAGTGACCGTTGCCCATAGACATACGCAATTGCATATGCGTTGCGTACCTTAAATCGACGGAGGAGAGGATTTGTTTACTTGTCTTAATTGACTAATTCTAAATTTAGTTACAGTTTAAATAGTATTATAATAATTGTAATATAAAAATATACAAACCTTATTCATATTTGCTTTAGGACGAAAATTGCATATCATAGTAATTTTAAAGTTGCTGTTAACCTACTGATTAATTAACGTAAATAAAACCTGTTTTGAAATAAACCTTATTCATATTATTTAAATTTTTTATCAAACGACCTAATTTACTATTTGATAACGATGAAGGTTTTTAGAGCCTTTTATTTGTTTTTCAGTTGTTAGATTTTTAGTACATTAATGTATTTGTTACCAACATATTGTAGTTTGTCATTTTACTATCTAACCAGAAATAATATAGAGTGTTAGGTCGCGGGCACGAAGTTAGCGACAAGCGGGACAGCTAGACGGTTTTATTATAGATACGGGTTCATTGTGCCGCGCCGGACGCACCGTACGCACGGCCCGCAACGGATTTTAGTTTGATTTGTATGATTTTACATAGCTCTACGTCTATCAACCGCGCCACCGAATCGGAAGACAAACTAAAACCGTTTAATCCGTGCGTGCGGTGCGTCCGGCGAGGCAATGGACCATATCATCGCCCCGCTCTACCAGTCGCGTCGCCTCATGTGTCGCTGTAAGCACGACCTTAATTATAACATCATGCAAAATGAAAAAATGAAAAATGATTTATTGCTTAAACAAAAATGGTACATGCATGCTCAAACAAAAATGTGCCGGGACTTCCATTTAAGCATCCATAACGGGCTTGTGATTGGAAGTCCCGCTCTTCCGTGTCACATAAACAGTATCAATGGTACCTTCTTAATCTACATATTATATAAAAACAAATTATTCTTTTTAACAAACAAAACAAAATACAAAGAGTTAACTAAAAAGTAAAAATAAAAATGACAATAAACTTATTATTAATTACTAAATTAAAAAGAGCAAAATGAATGTAGAAAATATTATTTTCGTAGATTAATTAAAGAATTACTGGTATATGTGATGCAATTCTAGTAATATTATGTAATTTTAATATTTTTTACTTGTATTATTTATTATCTATAATATGTTGATAGCAGATTGATATATAATTTAAAAGATAACATCAATAAATGAGAATGACATGCAAAAAATAATTGTTCAATATAAAAACATTTATTAAACGGGTTAGTAAGACTAGTAGCGACATCTATTGACCGAGATAAGAAACAATACTACATTTTCTACTTTTAAAATTGATTTATTTTTAAAAAACGTCAAAAAATTTCTTTATCTATTTTATGATAACGTATTCTTTTATCGTCATCTGATAAAATGATAAGTAGACATTATAATTTATAATGTTACAAGCACTACAAGTTGAGTCAACGAGTGGTTATATCCTGGAGGGTTAAGCCATGAAGATGGGGGCTATGACCCCCTACCCTATACATCTGAATCAGCCATCGACGTACTTAGTAATACTAAGGAAGACTTTGTTACGAAATTCGTAAGTTAAACATAGTCATATGATTCTCTTTAAATATAGAAAAAGATAAGAAATACTGTCTTGAATTGAAGTACATTTATAAACTAGATAACAACTTCGCTTTGCTAATACGCTTTGAAACGTAAGCGCGAGTAAAAACAATGAAGGCGCCCGAAATGAGGTGAAAACTGTCCGGTTTTGGCAACATTCGTCAAGAATGTCTGCACTGCAAACGGCGTAGTGCTTTCAACGTACAACACTAACAAAACACTGAGACTTGATAATTTGAACCTTATTCTCTAAGCAATAAGTATACTAAACTCGCAGAGCTAACTTTGTAAGCTAGAGCAATGGTCCAACTTGTTGAAATTCCGTCGCCGTCCGGTGTACGATGTGCCGAAATTGAGCTTCCGTTGCCAAAATCTTAGATAAGCCTTATAGCTTAAGGAATAAAGGTTGTTTTCGTTGATTTTACGAAGTTCACAATGATAAGGTTTAATTCGCGGGCCACAGGAGGGAAGAAATTTCGCAGGCGAAGGTTTTGCTTGAGCGCCCACTAATTTTGTCCAATCGTTGTTAGCGGGTAACGTGTGAGAGATATTTTTAAACCCACTAAATTTTTTTTGTTTGTACTTTTAGACATTATTAGAATCCTTTGCCGCGAATGACGCGCTTTCATTACTAAGTCAAGTGTCAGAATGATTAGTGAGGGGACATAAACGTCGATATTGTAGTAAAGCTCGTGTTGCGCCAACACCGACACAGTGTCGAATTTTCTTCATAACAGTAATTATCTTCTGGCTCTTGAGAAGAACTTTTTTCTGTTGATACTTGAAATTTTTTTTTACGAGATTTTCTCTATATATAACCTTTTTCAACCAATAAATCTAGGCATAGTGAAACAAAACATCAATGTTCAAAAGGGATCATTAAGACATTAAGCGAAGTTCCTTAGGAATACTATTAAAATAAGAAATATAATTGTAATAACATAAATTATTTGTGTCCAGATGGCGAACCCATCAAGCTACCAGAGAACCTGGAGAGTCTGCCGCGCGCGGAGCACTTCTCCGCTCAGAGGCATCGCTGGAACACCAACGAGGTCAGTGCACTCACACAATTATTCAATATACTAACGAAGCGTACCTTATAATTTGTAACAAGTTAAGGCCCTGTCAGACGCAAAATGCGCTTACTAAAAAGCGTAGAACAAGACATCTTAAAAAAAACTTGGTTAGTCATATTTTAGTATGTGTAACTTCAGTCCTTTAACTGGATTCTGGTCGAACAGAATTTTGATTGGATGCAATTTTCTCGATAAATTTATTTTTTAAAAATGAGCCTTCTAATATTAATTTATCCTATTTAGCACTAAATAAAATATTATAATAAAAGCGAATCATAATATTTTATTTACGAGTTGTTCCCCCCCCCAACTTTGTTCGTGTGGCATTAAAAAAAAAACAAAATTAATAACCTATGTCTTCTCTATGCCAATTTTCAGCGAGATCTATGTAACCGTTCCGGGTATACCTTCAAACAAACATCCATCCAAACATTCGCATTTATAATATTAGTAAGATTTTATCCAATAGCTTTGTTTCAATTTTGACATCAATAGACTGGTCCTTTGCCAATTTGTTTTTGTATCGTCGATTATCTGGAATGATAGAATTCGGGTCATTTATTAATTTGTTATTCTTGCCAAAACGTTTTTAAATCGTCGGATATTGAATATTGATTGATAATCGGATATTGGAAATAGGTTTAATTTGTTTTGTTTGTATTTGAAAAGGTTTATAATTGATCGAAATAGAAATGAGAGTTTTATTTTTTACAAGACATAGGCTACTAAATCTTTCTCAGCCGTAAGTCGCTCACTGCTGGGCAAAGGCATCCGCTAAAGATCGCCACGATGACCGGTCCTGTGCAACCTGCATCCAGGTCGCTCCGGCAACCTTGACCGACCTGGTCAAGGTTGCCGGAGCCATCGGTCCATCTTGTGGGAGGCCTGCCCACGCTTCGTCGACCTGTCCGTGGCCGCCCCATTGACTAAATACTTTTTTTTTTAATTCCGCGCCAAGAGTCGTGGGCGGTGACTGCGTGGACTCTTAAGTGATATTTTTTAAACGAATATTCATCCAGTGATATCTTTAATGCTTTCAAAACAACCGTTGCTCATTCCAGTACGACATTGAATGTTCAAAAATAGAACAGTCCAACGTATACGTGAACATGACGAGGGTTATTTATGTTAAATACCATAGGTCTCATGATTAATTCCCTAATGTCGCGGTCCGTCCCTGGCGGCGCTGTTGTCGCACCGCGTATAAATCGCGGCCTAATTCATGCATAATGCAAACAGTCATGAGTGTCGTCTCATATCTCGGACCGCAATGTTTTAGCCTACTTAACCTAGTAGATTACCTTATGACCCCTACCATTTCATTACAAGTGAGAAACTGGTGAGTGACTGAGAAGGTTTATTTCCAAACCAATACGACCTAGGGACAAACAACGCAAACAAACGTGGAAAGAAACAATTAAATATTTTTGCTTTTAAAAATATAAATCTAAATAGATTTAATGTATCAAGATTGTTGCTATTTTCTACCGTGGGTTTCCATTGCCACATTATAAGAGAATGGGAAAGCGGGAGAGAATTTTTTTTTCTAGTGTTTTGGCAATGGAATTCAAAGGTTTACGCTCATCAAACGTAGACTGCGTAAAACTCATTCCATTGATTTTTTCAGAACCCTCCGATGTGTATTTATGCGTACGTTAAGTTAGAAAGTCTGTATTTCATTCCCCCGCTTTGATGTTGATAGTTTTGTAGGAAATTTAAATGAGATGGCGGACGCTATGGGGGACGGTTGAAATATTTGTACACTCTTTGAGTAATTTATTTGTGTAATGTAACTAGCGATTCGAGCCGGTTTTGCTTGGATAAAACAGGATTTAGTATTATGTATCATCATCAGCTCACTATAAGTCCCTACAGAGGGGCTGCGCCTACCTTAAGTCAGGGGTTCATATATAGGTGGCCGCGGACGAGAGCGAAAGCGTGCCCGTGGCCCCGTCCCGATGCGTTGGAGGAACAGAGAGGTTTAGTGGGTATGCCTCCGCTATGGAGGAGAATCCCACATAACTATCGCGTCCTCCCCGGGGTATGGAGTATGCATAAAGCATTCCTCACTGGAAAAAAGGGGTTCATATATAGGATGTTGGCTTACTAAGAACAATAATAAGTTTTTGAGTACGTGGCCAGACTGACGCGATATGATATCAATGAGTTACATGTAGCGAAGATTTGTAATTTCATAAATGTATCAGAAAAAAATTGTTAGGAAATCGTGATGAATTATAGTGCTGTATATATTTTTATTGAGTTAATAGAATCAACAATAATTCACCTTTTGTAATGTGAGAACTAATAGTAGAGGTGTAGATTAGTTCGCGTAATGAAATGCGTCGAGTAACAGCAGCCGTAAGCCACGCATTCGTTAGTTATTATGTCGAATAACATAGCGCCCGGAAGCTAAACTTCGCGGTCTCTTTTTTATTCTATACAATTATACTAACAACATTATAATAAAGTTTTTTTTATTATACTTAAGTAAAATGTATCTGTGTAAGAAAATTATTCACATTTAAGACTCATCTTTAGAGTTTTAAGTTATTGCGTCGCAGTCTCTTTCAAAGACATGAAATATTTTATATACATTTTTTTTAATATACAAGATTCAATCGGTTATATTGGTTGATTTTCGTGGGCATTATAATTGCACTTTTGCGGTTTTAAATTTTTTAAATGTTGAAATTAGTAATTGTAACTTTCAAACATTTTTAAATATTTAAATTAATACTTGACGCAAAGAACAAGTGAAGTTGTCATTAATTTTACTAAAGATCTGTACGAGAGAGGTCTTTATACAAAAAAACATGGCTTCGTTAAAAAGTGTTTGAAGTAAAGTAGTCCAAGGCTGTTCTTATGCGCTTTGTAAGAGCAAAGCTCGCGCGGGTTCACTTTGCGTTTGGTTGGATGAAGAGATCTTATCATGTCGACTAAGAGTACTAACTATTATGTCGTATAATGAAGGACATTTTATAAAAAATGACAGACGAAATGAACACTTTATGTAAACGATTTCATTTAAAATTTATTGCTAAAATTATTTTTCAACTAGCTCTGTCCGAGACTCTGAGCGAATTTAAAAAAAAAAAGATCTTGTTAGACTGACAGACGGACAACAAAGTGATCCTATAAGGGTTCCGCTTTTTCCTTTCGAGCTACGGAACCCTAAAAATATGCATAATTATAGCCTATGTGTTCTTCCAGAAGACGTGTGCCAAATTTAATCAAAATCCGTCTAACCGTTCCGGAGATAACTTCAAACAAATATTCATCTATCCATCTAAACTTTCGCATTTATAATATTCGTAAAACTAGTAACATTATTTAGATATAGTTAAAAATTACTTTATTGACTACAATTGAATCCAAAGAAAAAAAATCCCATTTGACCGAATAATCGGTAAGCCGAACGACCCAACGGTAAACATCCATTTAAAAACAAAAGTCTAGCCAGTATTAAATTGACGTTTTCCAGCATTACTAAACTCCATAAATATTTTCATAAAGCGAATTTTCGCTTTCATTTACAGCATCCAGTAAAAACAGAAATATATTTTAATATCAACGTTTCAACTCGTAATTGCGTTTTACGTAGTGAAAGTACACTTCGTTACTGTACAGGGGTTTACCTTCGACCGTTACCCCCACTCCGCACTTCGTATTCACTTCACCCCTTAATTTGTACCCCCACTTGTTTTTGTATCGCGAAATTGTCGATCAACGCTAGATAGAGCTTTGAGGTTATAAACTAATTTAATTGCATATATAACCTTTTAGAAATACATTATTCAATAAGATATATAATATTTAACTAAAAGTTTTTTTTTAATATATTAATGTTGTCAATTTTTTTTTTAAGTAATTTTGTAATTTACCTAATAGATTAACTTCCTAATATTTTTGACGCTATCCTTTACATAAAATTTAAAAAAAGAGAATCACAATTTGTTACTAAATATGTGTACCTTTATGTAGGTACATAAAAAAACGAGATGACTAAAAAATTTTTTTTTAATTCTCTCATCTTGGGCGTTTAATTAATAAAACAATTGAACTGTCTATTTTTATTTATAGATGAAAATACGTTTAATAATTCTTTTATTAAAAAGTACAATTCAATTAACATATTTCACGTGTAGTGTTCGTAATGGTATTTCAGACGAATACAGCTTTACCTGGAATCACCTTTCCGACGTACAGACTATTCATGAGAATTGTCTCGTAAGCCCGCGGGCACGCGATTTCGTCCAAAATGATCTTTTCCATCCGTTTTATAGTCTGTGTTTTGGTAAACACAATAACAGCTACGTAAGAAATTCATATTTCGTCACATCCGTTGAAAAAGGTTACATCTTAAGAGATGTAACTCAACGAATGAAAAGAGTTACATCTGTTATCAGGTCTCTTCATACATTACTAGCGGACGCTAATAAAACAACTGCTCTGAAAATATTCCACGAAGAAAAAGGACAACAGAGCTATCTGTCTCTTTTTTGCGTCTCATTAGCACGGCTCCTGCTCGTTGTATCTTAAAAGCATTTAGTTAAGGCGAATTTTCATTTCGAATTAAAGCTTTTGTTAGATATTTTACCTCCTTATTAATGTTACAATAGAATGCATTCTTTTAAAATAGCACAATGCCATTCGGATAATTTACAACGATTTAAAGTACCCTGTAGAAAGTTCGAGAGCGTCGTTGGCTCAGGGGTGACTTGACTTGCAATCTGCAGGTCCTAGGTTCGAATTTATTTACCAATTTATTTTCGATTTATATATATACATTAATCCAACGCTTTTACAGTGAATGGAAAACATCGTGATCCAACTAGCACATATCTTAGAAGAAATTCATTGTGTGAAGTCAACCCGCTCTGGACCAGCGTGGGTGACCATGGCTTAGTCACCTAACCTACCTAACCTACCGCCCTAACTTAGGGTAGGCCCCCCCTCAGTATATATGTATATAA